TACGAATAGTCGTAGTGGTAGTAGTAGTAGTAGTAGTAGTAGTAGTAGTCGTCGTGCAAATCGTAGTCGTAGTAATGGTATGGGCAAGGGTGGTAGTACTAGTGGTAGTCGTTGTTGTAGTAGTACTGATACTGGTACTAATACGATTAGTAAAGGTAGGAGTCGAGTCGTTACGTTTAGTAATCGTAATAAAAGTGGTCGTAGTAGTGATGGCCGAAGTTGCAGTAGTGGTAGTGGTTGTAAAAGAAATCGTAGCAGTCGTCGCAGTAGTGATAGTAGTAGTAGTAGTTGTACGTTTAGAAGTAGCAGTAAGAATGTTTGAAGTAGTAGTAGTCATAGTAAAAGTAGTACGAGTAGCAGTCGTAGTAGCAGTAGTAGTAGTATTCGTCGTAGCAACAGTAGTCGCGGTAGTCGTAGTAGTAGTCATAGTACTATACGTACGACTTGTAGTAAGAGTAGTAGTAGTAGTAGTCGTCGTAGTAGTAGTAGTAGTAGCAGTAGTAGCAGTGGAAGTAGTAGTAGTCGCAGTAGCGGTAGTAGCCGCCGTACTAGTACCATCAATACAAATTTGAATACAATGTGTAGAAATAGCGCAGTAGCACAAGTAGCCCAAGCGTGGTCTAGTAGTAGTAATCGAAGCAGTGCAAATTGGAGCGCAAGTAATAGAAGTGGTTGGCGGAATGGTACTAACAGTGGGAATCGCAGCCGTAGTGGTACCAGTAGTAACAGTCCGAGGAAGAGGTAGAGACGCAACAGGAATATAGTCGAACTAACTCTGGTGGTCGTACTGGGTTGAATCCTATCAATAGTGTTGGTGGTGGTAGTAGCTGTAATAGTAATCGTACTGGGAGTTGGGGATGTGGTCATCGTAGCAATACAAGTGGAAGTCGGCGTAGTAGTAGTAGTAGTAGTAGTAGCAGCAGTACCAGTTTTAGTAGTAGTAGTCGTCGTAGTTGTAGTAGTAGTATTAGTAGTGAAACAGTAGTAGTCGTGGTCGTAGTCGTAGCGCAACCGTAGTAGTAGCAGCAGTCGTCGTAGCTGCACTGGTAGTAGTGCGTGCTGACATAGTAGTAGTATCAATCGTAGTAGTAGTAGTAGTAGTAGTAGCAGTAGTAGTAGTAGTAGTAGTAGTATAGTAGTAGTAGTAGTAGTAGTAGTAGTAGTCGCTGTAGTAGAAGCATTAGCCGCAGTGGTAGTAGTGGTGGTGGTGGCAGTAGTTGTGGTGGCACTAGTGGTGGTACTAGTATAACACTTCGAATACTGCTACTGCAACTACTACTGGTACTACTACTACAAGTGCTAGTTATAGTGGTAGCAATAGTGGGGGCACTATTACGAGCCGAAACAATAAAAAAAATAGTAGTAGGACGGAGTAGCAGTAGTAGTAGTAGTAGTACTGGTACAACTAGTACTAGTAGTGGTAGTCATAATAGAAGAGATAGTAATGGTAGTGGTAGTGGTAGGGGCAGTAGTGTATAACTAGTAATAGTAATCGGACTGATCGTGGAAGAAGTATTGGCATTAGTATTGGTGGTGGTGGTCGTAGTAGTAGCCGTACTAGTAGTAGTAGCAATGGTTGAGGTAAAATGAATATTATCAGTAGTAGTAGTAGTTGCCGTAGTCGTAGTAGAGGTAGTCATGGTAGTAGTAGTTGTAGTAGTCGTAGTCGTAGTTGTAGGAGTAGTAGCCGTAGTCGTAGTTGTAGTAGTCATGGGCAGCAGTAGTAGTGGTAGTATTAGTAGTAGTAGTAGGAGTAGTACTAGCAGTAGTAGTAGTAATAGTTATAGACCCAGTATTAGTAGTAGTAATGGTAGAAGTGGACTTGGTAGTAGCAGTAGTCGTAGTAGTAAAAGTACTGGGGGTTGAAGTAGTAATAATTGGAAAAGTAGTAGTGGCAAAAGTGATGGTAGCAGTAGTGGCAGCAGTGGTAATTAATGATCGTGGCAAAGGAAGTAGAAGTAGTCATAGTAGCAGTATCGCGGTAATGCTAGTAGTAGTAGTAGTACCCGTGGCACTAGTAGTGCCAGTCGTAGTCGTATTAGTAATAGTAGCAGTAACAATAGCAGAAGTAGTGGTAGTAGTAGTAGTAGTAGTCGTAGCGGTAGTAGTAGGAAGAATAGAAGTCGAAGGGGTAATATTAACAGTAGAAGTAGTAGTCGTAGTCGTAGTAGTAGTACTACCAGTAATAATAGTAGTACCAGTACTAGGACTAGTAGTAGTAGCAGTAGTAATAATCGTAGTAGTAGTAGTAGAAATAGTAGTAGCGGTAGTCGTAGTAGTAGGAATAAAAGTAGTAGGAATGGTCGTAGTAGTAACAGTAATAGGAGCAATACTCCAGTTGGAGCTGGTACGATCGGTACTACTCGTAGTATTCGTACTAGTAAGAGTAGTCGTAGTGGTATAGGTGGAAGGTAGGTAGGTAGGTCGGTAGGTAGGTCGGTAGTAGTAGTAGTAGTAGTAGTAGTAGTAGTAGTAGTAACCGTCGCAGCCGTAGTGATTGTTTTGGTAGTAGTAGCGGTCGTAACGATACTCGTAATAATCATCGGAGTATGTCGCCATGGGCCGAAAAAGGTCGCAGTCGGCCGTAGCAGGTCGTAGTAGTAAGAGACGTAGTAGCAACAGTAGTCGTGGTTGTACGAGTCGTATTATGAAACATCAGAGTTCCAATATTAATCGTAGCAGTGGTAGTCGTAGTACTAGTAGTAGCAGTGGTGGGTGGTGGTAGCGGTAGTTGTCAGCAGTACTAGTCTTGTACTACTCCTACTCCTACTACTAGTACTATTACGAGTACTACAACTACTACCGCTACTACTAGTACTACTACTACTATTACGGGTACTACTACTACTGCTAATACTACTACTATTAATGTTACTATTAGTTCTAATGGTAGTCGTTTCAGTAATGGTTGCACTCGTAGTACTACTAATAGGTGTAGTAGTAATCGTAATCGTGTTAGGAGACATTAGTAGTACTAGTGGTGCGAGTCGTCGTAGTAATTGGACTAGCGGTAGCCGTAGTAGTAGTAGAAGACATGGTAACGCTAGTAGCATGGGACATACTAGTAGTAGCCGTAGTAGTAGCAGTAGTCGTCGCAACGGTCGTGGTCGTAATATTGGTAGTAGCAGTAGTAATAACAATAAGAACAATCGTAATCGTAGTAGTAGTAGTAGTAGTAGTAGTAGTAGTAGTAGTAGTAGTAGTAGTAGTAGTAGTAATGGTCGTAGTAGAGTTACTAGTAGCAGTCGTAGTAGTAGCCCTAGTAGTAGTAGTAGCCGGAGTGATAGTGATAGAAGAAATAGTGATGGTAGACATGGTAGTAGTAGTAGTAGTCGTCGTCGCCGTACGGATCGTAGAAATAGAAGTAGTAGTAGTAATCGCAGCCGTACTACTAGTAAGAATAGTAATGGCCATGGTAGCAATAGAAGTACTGGTAGCGGGCGGTAGTAGTACTACCAGTAATAGTAATAATCGTATTCGTAGTAGTAGTAGTAGTAGTAGTAGCAATAGTAGTAGTAGTAATAGTAGTAGTAGTCGTAACTGTAATAGTAGTAGTACTAAAAGCACCAGTACTAGAAATGATAGCCGTAGCAGTCGTAGAAATCAATGTCGTAGTTATACCCGTAGTAGTACTAGTAATCGCAGTGCTAATGATAGCGGTAGTGGTAATAGTCGTGGTAGCCGTAGTAGTAGGAATAATAGTAGTAGGCGTAGTTGTGTTAGTCGTAGCAGTAGTACTAGTAGTAGGAGTAGTACAAGTACGAGTGTCAGCGTCGTAGTCGTAGTAGTAGTAGTAGTAGTAGTACTAGTAGTCGTAGTAGTAAACGTAGTAGTAGTAAGTCGTAGTAGATCGTAGTAGGTCGTCGTGTGTCGTAGTAAAAGTCGCAGAGGTAGTAGACGTAGTTGTAATAGTAGTAGTAGTAGCAGTAGCAGTAGTAGTAGTAGTAGCAAAGGAGTAGTAGTAGTAGTAGTAGTAGTAGTAGTAGTGGTAGGAGTAGGTAATAAGTAGTAGGTAGTAGGTAGTACGTCGTAGGTAGGTAGTAGAGGCAGTAGTAGCAGTAGTAGTAGTAGTAGTAGTAGTATTAACTGTTAAATTATTAGTAGTAGTAGCCGTAGTAGTAGTAGTAGTAGTAGTAGTAGTAGTAGTAGTAGTGGTAGTAAGCGGAGTAGTAGAAGTAAAAGTAGAAATGGTAGTAGTAGTAGCCGTAGTAGTAAGAGTAGTAGAGGTAGTGCGCCAGTAGAAATATTATGATTATTAGTAGTAGCCGTAGTCGTGGTAGTAGTAGTAGTAGTAGTAGCAAAAGTAGTTGTAGTAGCAGTAGCAGTAGCAGTGGTAGTAGTAGTAGGAGTAGTAGTGATAGCAGTAGTAGAAGTAATAGCAGTCGTAGTAGCAGTAGTGGTGGTAGTAGTAGTAGTAATCGTGGTAGTAGTAGTAGTAGTACTACTAGTAGTAGTAGTAGTAGTAGTAATAGTAGTAGTAGTAGTAGTAGTAGTAGTAGTAGTAGTAGTAGTAGTGGTAGTAGTCGTGGTAGTAGTCGTAGTCGTAGTAGTAGTAGTAGTAGTAGTAGTAGTAGTAGTACTAGTAGTCGTAGTAGTAGTAGTAGTAGTAGTAGTAGTAGTAGTAGTAGTAGAAGTAGTAGTAGTCGTAGCCGTAGCTGTAATCGTACTACTACTACTACTACTACTACTACGACTACTACTACTACTACTACTACTACTGCTACTACTACTACTACTACTACTAGTAGTAGTAATAATACTAGTACTAGTAGTAGTAGTAGTAGTAGTAGTAGTAGTAGTAGTAGTAGTAGCTAGTCTGTAGCGCTCACAAGCGCTTCAGAGGCGCTCACACAGCGCTCCAGAGGCGCCCGCAAGCGCTCCAGAGGCGCTCACAAGCGCTCCAGACTGAAACTTTGAAACGAGTGCGCAGAGCAGCAGCAGAGACAGAGAACGAGCAGGAAAAAGGACGACCACGCACCCTCCAGGGCGGGGGGCGGGGCCTCCGTCATCTGCCGGACGCGCCGCTTGTAGCGCTCCCGCGACTTCTCGTCCTGAGGGCGGCGTGCCGCGGCCGCGCCTCGAGCCACAGGGCCCAACAAGGCACTCTTGCCCCTGGGGAGGGGGGGAGCGAGGGCGGGAAGGAGGGGGGACAGGGGCAAGAAGAGGCGACGAGGAGGAAGGAGGAGGAGGAGAAGGAGGGAGGAGGAGGAGGAGGAGGGAGAAGGAGGAGGAGGAGGAGGAGGAGGGGGGAAGCGGAGGAGGGAGGGGGGGGGAGGCGAAGAGGGAGCCTCTGCCTCCCCCCCCCGACCCCGCCCGCGTGATCTGCTCTGGTGCTCCTCCTGCTTCTGCCGCCTCCTCCCTCCTCCCTCATCCGCCCTCCCTTGTCCGCCGCACCTCGGCCCTCCTGCCTCCTCCGCCGCCCCCTTCCTCTCCTCCCACCCCACCTCCTCCCTGCAACCACTGCTGACCTCGCCAAGTGCGTCCACAACTCGCCCTCCTCCGCCATGCGGCATCCTGCCAACTTTCTCCCCGCATCCTTATCCCTCGTTCAACTGCCGATGCTGCGTCTGCTGATGATCCTCGTCCTCCTCCTACTATTCCTGCTGTTCCTCCTACATCAAGGGCGCGCGAACATGGATCGGAGGAAGTGCCACCCCCAAAATGCGGCCGGTGCCGCCTCGTTCGGCGGCGGAAATCCGCAATTTCCAATCGAAGCGGGACTCGTCGCTAATCCACGCCCCCTTGATCCATTTGTGCGATCCCCTGACTACACTAGCCTAGCCACTCTACTCATGCTCCAACTTCTCCGCATCCCCCTCACATCCACCTGTTCCTCCTAGTCCTCCTCACCCTCGTCTTCCTCCTCTCCTCCTCACCATCATTACCACTTACCACCATCAGCGGCAGCATCCGCAGCAACGTAATCGGCATCAACATCATCATCACCATCATCATCATCATCATCACCATCATCACCATCACCATCACCATCACCATCACCATCACCATCCTCATCCTCATCCTCATCCTCATCCTCATCCTCATCCTCATCCTCATCATCATCATCATCATCATCATCATCATCATCATCATCATCATCATCATCGGCATCGTCATCGTCATCACCATCACCACCTCCATCGCCCTCAACATCACCAATAGCAACACCACCTTCTCTCATTCCACCTCATCGCCCTCATCAACCCATCCTCACTCGATGCTGCTCCGCCTGCCCCATGATTTTTTACGCTGGGCGAACTTGAGCCACGGAGCACGTGCGTACCACGGGGGGGAACTCATGCGGGTAGCCGGCTTAGGCGAAACCAGCGCAGACTGGACAGACGGAGCAAGAGAGACTCCTCCTCCTCCTCCTCCTCCTCCTCCTCCTCCTCCTCCTCCTCCTCATCCTTTCCTCCTCCTCCTCCTCCTCTTCCTCCCTCTCCCCCCCCCTCCTCCTCCTCCTCCTCCTCCTCCTCCTCCTCCTCGTCCTCCTCGTCCTCCTCGTTCTCCTCGTCCTCCTCGTCCTCCTCGTCCTCCTCGTCCTTCTCGCCCTCCTCGTCCTCCTCTTCCTCCTCGTCCTCCTCGTCCTCCTCGTCCTTCCTCCTCGTCCTCCTCCTCCTCCTCCACACTACAGGTGCGTAGGACAACGTACCATTACTCCATGCCGTGCCGAATCAGGTACCGAGAGGGGCAAGTTGCGAGGGGCGCGTTCACTCCCAAGGGGGGCTGGCATGGCAGACGCGAGCTCTGCCAATGCCCCGATCCAGGCGCAATGAGGAACTGAAGAGTACCTCTTCAAGCACACTGTGCATAGCGTTGGGGTTCGGGGGTGCACCAAAACATTGACCCCCAGGTGGCGAAAGCCAGGCCGTGGTTTTGCGCCGCCCCTTCTAAGGCCCTGAGAAGGGCCATGCACACCTCCGAAGCAAATTGTATCACTTGCGCGAAGCCTCTCCCGAACACCTGAGTAGCCCCTCCGGCTGTCGTCTTCGAGGATGGCCGAAACCAAGCCGGGGAGAGTTCAGAAACTGTGGGGGACGTACCACGTTAGTGGCCACCTCGCCCATTTATAACACTCACCCCCCATGCGTTAAGATCCCTGGAAACCATTTGACTGAAAGGATTGGTTTCTGCCATTCTCAAGACTTTAAGGATGAGAACTCCTAGAGCCCTTGCAACTTTCTTTCTGCATGGGCATGCTGCGTTGCGCAGCGGGCGTGGGAAACCGCAGCCACCCTGACCAGGGCTCTGATGGTCGTCTCATCCTTGAAGATGGGTTCTAGGTGCCCTCAATGGCAATCCTCCTCCTCAAGCCGTCCGTTCTCGTTCCTTTCCGTACGGCCCCACGTCCAAGGCGAGCCAGGCGCACGGGCAGGCACGGAACCCACCGCGGAGACGCCCTGCGAGGGGTTGGCCACGGAGGGCGACGACGGAGGGTGCAGCCGCACAAGCTGGAGCTGCAGCCCGTCCAGTATCCGCAAGCACAAAGGGCAGAATATCCACCCCGATAATAGCCACCACGATACGCGAAGCCGTTTAACCCTGCGCCCCCGATAATAATTCCTGGGGGTAATAAAATTCGGGGTCTGGCGGGGATAATCAACGACTTTCCCGGCGGATGATGATGATGATGCTGATGATGATGATGATGATGATGAGGATGATGATGAGGATCGGAGGTTGGGGGGTGAGATCGACGTGGAACGGAGAGCCCCCCTACAGGGAAATCGATTTCGGTTTCGTGTTCGTGCGTGCCGTGCGGGCGGGGCGAAGCTGCGTGGGCGGGCGATGGGAAAGTCTCCTGTGGCTGAGGCGCCGGGCGGCCGGTGGCGCGCGGTGTCCCGCCGGTGTCCCGCCGGTGTCCCGTCGGTGTCCCGTCGGTGTCCCGATGATGATGTTGATGACGATTATGATGATGATTATGATGATGACAGTAATGATGATGATGATGATGATGATGATGATGATGATGATGATGATGATGATGATGATGATGATGATGATGATGATGATGGCGATGATGATGATGATGCAGACGATGATGATGATGTTGAAATTGATGACGATGCTGATGAAGACGTCGATAGTGATATCGATTGTGAGATCGGTAGTGAGACCGAATGAGACAGCGAATGAGGTATTCTTTCAGGTTTTCCTCCACCACGCACAGTCTTCTCCCAGCGCACGGGCTTTGATGTAGTGCTATTAGGGGGGCACGGTGTATGCCAGGCTTTGCCAGCGCTTCGGTATTCTCTGACTGCATGAGGCACGCTTTCGCTGGGCTTCCAGCCGTTTGCGCTGTTTGAGCAAGGGAAAAAGAGCTATGATGGCGGTACATCGGTCTCGACCGCCGAAGGGCAGCCGTTGAGCAATATTTTGAAGCGATTTAGTCAGTGGCGACAAGAGGGGCTTCAGCAGGTCTTCGACAAAAAAAACTCCACTGGCATCGTCAGGAGAACAATCACCACTGTTGCCCATTGCTCGGCCCCTCCACCCCCCCCCAACCTCCTTATCACCCGTAGGGTGGTCGTATAGGTAATGATGATGAGGATGATGATGAGAACGATGATGAGGATGATGATGATGCTGATGATGATGCTGATGATGATGCTGATGATGATGATGGTGATGATGATGATAATGATGATGATGACGATGACGATGATGATGATGATGATGATGATGATGATGACGATGACGATGATGACAATGATGATGATTGCCATGGTGCGTCTGGATGGATTCGCCGCGGCACAGAAGCACCTATACAATAGTTGGGGGGAGACTGCGGGATGATGGCCTGGATGGCAAACATACACATCGGTTGCCGAGATCATCTGCCAACCAACCTGCCGTAAGCGCGCTGTGCCGCGCCAGCGAATAGGTCGTGGGAGCGGCCGTCCCGGCGTGCGGCGAGGCGAGACCTGCTGTCCGCAACGTCAAGCCCCGCCGCAACGTCGTCTGGAAGCTCCGACCGGAGCAGCGCCACCCATGGCAAAGGACGGTCTCGCCAATGGGTTGAGAAGAACGCGATGACGTGCGGCGGCTGCCGACGGACCATCTGGCCGAGGAACTTGAGACGGGCCCAGCATAGAAAACAATCAATGCTCGGCATCTTGGTGAGGAGCCGCACCTCTTTGTCCCCGACCCTACAGAAGTCCTGGGATTGAAACACGACCCGCCACTGATACTGTACATGTTCCAGTTTCCGGCTACACGGAGTGGAGAGCGCGGGCTGCGTGAACGGGCCGATGACGGCACCAGGCCCCACCGCAGCGGCTTCCGCCCGATGAACCTCGGCTCCCTGTCCACGTCATGGTCGTTGCCCCGAGCTAGGCCGAGCTCCAATGGGCCGCTCTCCGAAAGGCTGCTATCGAGAATGCCCATGGACAGGATTATGTCGTGCCATTCCTCCTGGGCCCGCTGCCTGTTTTTGCGCCACTTGCAATGCCTCATGGAGCAGAGGGCCAGACCACATAAGACGAGGATCACGCCAACAGTGGTGCCCACGACGACCACGGGGTAGTCATGTTCTTCTCCCGTCGTTGTCGTCACGGGATCCAACGTCGAGGCTGGGACAACCAATTTTTGGGCTGGCCGTAGGTTACCTGAACATGGCCGTCGTTCTCAATTCCCTCATTTGCCAAAGCGGTCGTCAGAAGAGCGGCGAGTGAATCGTTGGCTCCGTCGAATAGCTCAGTCGCAGCATCGAATACTCTGTCAATGGTGTCTTCATCTCAACTACCGAATAATCGACCGTCCAAGAATTCAAGCTTGCGAGCTCCCTGGCCGTATTCAAACTTGTGAGCTCCCTGGCCGTCACGGTCACAATGCTCCAGGGCACCTTGTAATGTTCAGCCAAAGCAGTCGACGCCGCACTCTCCACCTGTTCTTGCGTGCAAGAGCTAACGAAGTCCATTGAGGCCCTCGCAGACCAAAGTTGCGCGGCAATGCACGTCTGTGTCGTCAGCGTGGTGGTTGCACCGAAATGGGTGGTGGTAGTGATCGTGGTAATGGTCCAGGTGATGCTGGCAGTGGCTGTGCTGGTCAT